GATGAGCTTGGCGTGCGGCTTGCTGACCCCGCCGCCCGCGCCGCCCGCCACTTTGGAGCCGCAGCTCTTTTTCTGCGCGGGTTTGGAGTTGGCGCCGCCGCCGCTCGCGCCGCCGCCTCCTCCCCCCGCGTTGCCGCTCCCGCCGCCGCCGCCGCCGCCCCCGTGGCCGCCCCCGCCACCGACCTTGTCTCCCTTCTCCCCCGGCTTGGAGGAGGCGGCGGCCGAGGCGCTGGAGTTGGCGTTGCCGGACTTCACCTTCTTCCTGGGCCGGTACTTGTAGTCGGGGTAGTCAGCCATGTGCTTGAGGCGCAGCCGCTCCGCCTCCCGAATGAAAGGGATCTTGTCGCTGTCTTTGAGCAGCTTCCAGCGTTTGCCCAGCCGCTTGGAGATCTCGGCGTTGTGCATGTCGGGCGACTGCTCCATGATCTTGCGCCGCTCGATCTGCGACCACACCATGAAGGCGTTCATGGGTCGCTTGATGTGCCCGCTCGGCGTCTTGCACCAGCTCGGGTCGTCGGCCTTGCCGCCCGTGGAGGCGGTGGAGCCGGGCGTGGGGGAGGAGGCGATGCCCAGCTCGAGGCCGGCGCCCGAGTCCGAGCTCTCGCCCGCCAGCAGCGCTTCCGTGTTCTCGGCGTTGTTGGTTTGCTGCACCATGGCCCCGGCTCGGCGGGCGCCCACGCGCGCTCACACCCTCGCGGCGGCCGCGGCGCGATCGCCGGGCCCTCCCGGCTCCCCGGGCCAAGCACACGCCGAGCGGGAGAACGCGCGCGGCGGCCGTGCGGGCCCCTCCACTCCTCGCCGGGGCGGCGTTGGGCGAAGAGGGAAAAGTCTCCCAGAGATGCGGGGAAGGAGTAGTCTGCCTCTTGCAGAGGAGTTATAGTTCCCAGGCTGGAGAGTCTCTCCCTCCCTCTCCTTCTGGCTCTCGCTTTCTCTCTCTCTCTCTCACCGCGCCGCAGTTTGCTCTGTCTCTCGGCTCTGAGTCTGGAGACCGTGCTAAAGTGGAGAGGAGTTTCTTGAATGCTGGTTGCTGAAGCTTCCAGTGCAAGTTTCTCGCCGCCTCCCAGGCAAGTCTTTTTTTTTTTTTTTTTTTTTTTTCTTCCCCTGAAGCAGTTGGTTCCAGTTCACGAGCGCTCTCTCAGGAGCTCAGGAAAGCGACATAGTCTCTATCACTTAGTCCCTTTCCTACAATGCAGAGCAAAAAAGACTCTGGCTCCAGGACTCTCTGTGGGCGGAATCGGCACTAAGGAGTTTGTGCAATTATTTTGTTGCAAGGTAGGAAGCCAAAAAGCCTTCGTGCAACAGACTGGCATGAATAAATGTATGTTTCCCCCTCCCTTCTGCAAGAAGGGAGCTGGTAATGGCAGAGTTCCTCTAATGCAGACTCTTAAGAGCAAAGAGCGTGCAAGAACTAGAGACCCGGGAGCGAAACAGGCCTCTTCCCCTCACACAGTTTCTCTTGCTGCAGCTTAGAGCAGACCCCAATTCCGCCTCGCGCCTCTTTATCCTTTCACAGTCTTGGCCACGGCCAATCAGCCGCTGTAACCAACGCTTCCTCGTGCCAAGCTCCTCCCCCGAGCTTCCCATTGGCTTGGAACCCGATGCAATAATAATCTCCGCGTGCAATGAGAAGCTCCAAATCTGACCTCATTCCAATTTACAGAGCAAACTTTTTAAAAGGGCTAGAAGTACAGCTGAGATTTCTGCTGCCTTTTTTTCCTTTTGCTCTGTGTGTGTGTGCGTGTGTGTGTGTGTGTGTGTGTGTGTGGTGTGTAAAGAGGATGTTAATGCATGAAATTATTAAGGGGAGAGACGGAAATGTATTCTAACCATTATGTTAGATAACAAGGGGCTTGGAAGTGTGTGTGTGGGGGGGGGGAGTAAGGGTGAAATACTGTAAATGGAAGCTTTCTGCTTAAAAGCCAAGTGATTATTTTTATTAGTTCTTTTCAGTACTGGAATAAAGAATCAGCCTCTCGTGCAAAATCTGTTCCTCGGATCCTTCATAAAGCCAAGGATGTAAAAGGGGGAAGGAAAGCCACAACAATAAATCAATGGATATTGAAAACCATTAAGAAAGTGGTACCTAGACACCTGTCATCACAATTATTTTAACAACTCTAGGTACAGCACAGATGTTGATGTATTGTGTAAATCCCTTCAGAGCAATTTTTGTTCTGTTTGTGGAAGGCAGAGGAGAGGAATTTTTGCAACAACTGCTTGCTCTCTTAACCAAACAGGGGTTAACTATGGTTATTTAACGATTTAAACCCCCCTGTAAATCCTAGATAGCCCAAACAGAGGAGCTCTCCACTGGTACACATTAGGCAGTGTTCCATACTTAATGGCAGAATTTCCATAGAGTTTTGTATAGGATGATAATGTTGAGTAAAGGATTGGAATCGATTTACTTTCTCAATATTTGTTTCCCACATTTTCAAAATTCAAGGTTGCTTCACTCTCCTCCCTTCTCCCTCCCCCCCACCCCGCCCCAACCCTTTAAGAAGGGTTCTTTCTTATATATATTTTTCCTCTTAAATATTCTTCCTACGTTGCTTCTATGCTACTTGAATCTAATGGAGCTAAAAGGCCAAGGCAAAGGGAAAGAAGGAGGTGGTAACTGGTGGCCGAAGAGAGTGGAGCCTCTGGATTTATGTTAGACCTAGATGCTAGTCCTTCTTACTTGGTTTTGTACTCTAGGCATATGATTAAGTCTCAGTCTTCCTCATCTGTGATATGGGAACACTAGGAGCTACTTCATATAGGGTTGTTGTGAGGTTTCAATGAGTTTGATGCATTGTAAGCCCCCAGTGAATGTTATTATCCTTCTCTTGGTAATTCAATGCCAGAGATACTCCTTCTAATAGAGGCAGCATTTTGTTGTTCAAGAGACTAAAATTGTGGATGCTCACTGACTTTTTTAAAGTAGTCTCCACACCCACGGTGAGGCTTGAACTCAGATCACGGACTGAGCCAGCCAGGCACACTGAGGATGGTCACTGACTTGAAAAGCAATCAGAGTATGGATGTGACCCATACAAGGACAATAGTGGCAATCCTGTTGTCTTAATCATTTTAAAAGAAAGTGAAGACTATTGTGGAGAGTGTGGCAGACGAAAGGTACAAGGATGATCAGAATATATGTTTATTTGGCCACAAAAATGATCTCTACCACAAGGTGTGAAAATTAGGGTTCAAGTAAAAATTGGTCTTTCCTTAAACTGTTTTTCTACAGGCCAGGGATAGGTGGTTAGGTAGGGCCAACCCAACGTAATTAAGTGAGCTTTTGATTCAGATCAGACTAGTGGGAGGCAGCAGATTTCTATTTATCTTGTCAAACTTTTAAAGTATGTAGCTGGCGAGAGGCCCGGGTTGTCAGATTTAGAATTTTACTGTAAATAACACCCTTTGGAGACATATGACTGGATCTTCAAGGATCAACCCAAGCAAGAATGTTTTATGAGTAAAAGCAACTCATTCTTGGCCACTACCTACCCAAGTTATATTTTTTTTCTTTTAGAAGGGGGAACAAATCTTAAACAAAAAAACCTTTTTTTTTTTTTTTTTTTGCATATAACAAAGTTGGGTGTTTAATCAGGCGTTTTCTTTTCTTTGGTATGCACACTCAAAAACCCCAGCAATCCTAAATGTTATACTCTGACATAAAAATTACCTCTTAAGAGTATACATACAGTTGTATACATGTATGTACACAAATGTATACAGGTATATGTACTTTATACATGTAATTTATGTATAAAATTAGTATCTTCACTAGAATAAAAAAAGAGAATAAATACATTTATTTTGGGATTTATACCAACTAATGATTTGAGAGCATAGCTAGTTTGTGATCATTCAGTCAAGACGACTGGCAATATAATTGATTACATTTCTGAAACCATTTCTGCTCCCACCACTGAAAAGTATGGGGGAAAGTGGGACTTAATCAAAGTGGGCCTAGTAATTTTGTTTATGCTGAAAACACATGGGTTTTTAATTTTTAAAAATTTTAAAATTAAAACAATTTAAGATTTTTATGTTTAAGCAATCTTTACGTCCAACGTGGGTCTCAAACTTACAACCCGAGGTCAAGAGTTGTGGGCTCCATGGACTCAGCCAGCCAGGTGCATTACTTACACACAGGTTTTTAAAAGTATATACTAAAAAGATAGCCACCGGCCTATTTGTATTGTGAGATGTATTTTCTTTATTTTAACAAATCCAGTAGCTTTTAAGACACGCCACTGTTACATGCAACTAAGGAAGAAAAATTGCCAATGAAGCTGTGACATCCCCTCAATGGTAAGATATCTTAGAGATGTTGAAAACAAAAAGAACACGTTCTTAGAACTGAAGAACTAAGGTATTCGTAATTTCCATTGGCTTTATAACATGATTATAGTATATATGAATGCTGAGACCTCTAAAGTAGGTTTGTTCTTCTATGTCACTATTTCTTTTCAAATGGAAGAAAACATTTGACAAATGGCTTTTATTAAAGTCCTCTTTCTCACCACGTGCATGCTGGAATGTATCGGGCCTCTCAATACCAAGTAACGAGAAGAGACCTCTGTGTTCTCACTACCTAACTTCATAAGCTTTGTAACCAGTTCGACATTACTGATGTTTTTTCCCCAAATACCAAATATTTGGTGGCCCCTTGTAAATCAGTACTCAGTGATCCCTCTGCTGGCTTTGCAGCACATGAAGGAATTCTTAATGCTACTCTTTAAGCCATATTAACAGTAAACCAAGACAATTTTGCAAAAAGCAAAACCAAACAAAAGCCCCACCCTATTTTAGAATAATAAACGAATTGTCTTTGTTAGCAATGATGTTAGACGATTCAAATTTTGAATGAAGGTAAATTATCTTTTCCATTAAATAATGGAATTCTATTTGAGATGTAATATCTGCTAATTCATTTCTTCTGCTCTCACATACCTGTACAACATAGAATCTCACATCCATAAAATGGGATGGGGTATAGATGGAAATAAGATTCCATCTCACTGCTCATTATATGTTTATGGCGTGGTGCGGGGGCGGTGGGGGACCGGGCGGGGGGTGGGGTGGGAACTGAAGGGAAATTACTTTAACAAATCTCCTGGATTTGCACTGATTTGCAAGATTTTTGCCTTGCGTTGGTTATAGAAACCGTGACTGTGGGAGCTGGTCTGACAAGTGTTCAGTTCAAATGAAGGAAAGGGGGTGGGGAACCCCCGTGTTTGTTACTTTAGCGGGCCGGGAGCAGCCCTGGGAAATCTGATGTCATTGGACTTTGCCAACTGAAAGGCCCAGCGTTTTCTGTTGCACACTCGAGGGAAAAGGACCCTCCAACGGAGGCTGATTTACTTCTCAATCAAGTAGACAAATTACAACTTCCACTTCATGAAGTTGTATGAGAACCGGACTTCCCTTTCAGGGTTTGTATTGAAAACATAACATGGAAGTAACTCATATTTACAAAAGAGCAAAATAGGGAGTCTGGGGCAAAATGAAATCCATGATTTATTTTACTCCCAGAATAAGCTAAGAGGTAAGAATCTCTAATAATTTTTTTTTACCACTTTCTCACCCCTCCTCACCAGCGAGTAGCGCCTGGTGGGATTAAGCAAGCACTCGATGGCCATACCAAGTCACTTTTCCTTTCCTTCCCTTTCCGTCGTCTCACGAGGACAAGCAGAAAACGAGCGTTTGCCTGGGCCGCTGGAGTCTGAATTCTGAAGCATGAATTCGAGCTGCTGCTGCTTTCGGCGAGGCCCAGGCCGGGCACACCCACCGGAGTCTGGGAGTGCTCGGCGGCCAGCGGGCTCCCAACCCGGGGAGGAGCGGCCGCCAGGTGGCAGCGCTGAGCCTCCCTGCGCCCGCGAGCAGACGTGGGAAAACGTGGGGATGGTCAGACTTCTTTCTTCGTCTCCTCCTCCTCCCCCTCCTCCTCCGCACCCCTATCATCCTCCATCCACTACTCTGCCTGCCATAGGTAGCAGTTTAAACGATCAGCGGTTACTAGGGTGTGTCGGCGAATTCAGATGATTTTCCCCCCATAAGTCAAGACTTAAGGCCGCCCACCGCCTCCTCGCGTCCACTTGTCAGATGCTCGCGGAGACCGGGGAAGCCGGGGCTGGCCTCGCGTTTGGACACGGTAACTGAACCCGGGACATGATCCGTGCCCCCGCATCATCCTGCTGCAGCGGGCACGGGTCCGAACGCAGCGTCCCCGCCGGCCGCTCTCCGTTTTGGACAGCGGCTTCGGAGGAACGGCGCGCAGTACTTAAGGGCGCGCAGAGGCCACCCCGCCTCCTTAAAACATGGTTTCCCGCGGGCCGGGACGCCGCGCTCGGCGGCGCGCAGCTCGGCGAGGCCGGGGCGACCGGTCGTGGTGCCCAGCCTCCTTCGCCGCTCTACGACCGGGGAAGGAGCCGAAGACGCGCGCGCGCACACGCGGCCCGAGGGAAGACGCCCCCCTCCTCGCGCGCGCGCTCCCGGCCCTCCTTTGAAGTTGTGACTGGCCGGGGCAGCGGGGAGGGGGGTTCCCCCGCCCCCAGCCCCCGAGCCGGCCAGGCCCTCGGCGGTGCCGCCCAGTTCCGTCGCTGACCGGAACCGACAGCCAACCCCCCCCACCCCTCCTCGCGGCCCACGACCTCCGCTCTGCACGCCGACGTGCTCTGTGCGCGCGCTGCGTCGGGAGCCCACGCTCGGGCCGGCGGGCGACGCGCGGACCCCCCGCCCGGGTCCTTGCGGGCTGAGGCCCCGTGGAGCTCGCCGCCGCCGGGTCTTGCGGGGCGCCCGAGCGGGGCGCTCGCGCGCGCGGCGGGCTAGGCGAGGAAAGCGCCGGACGGCGAGGGGCG